AACCCGCGGCCAATCAGCTCCGGGGCTTCGGGGGCGGGGCCGCACCGCCCACCCCACGGGCCTCGCACCTAGCGCGCTGCTGCGCTGGCCCCGCAGGGTGCCCGGGCCACGTCCCCTTGGGCTGCGCCGGGTGGGCACGGCTTCGTGGCACCGGGGCTGCGCGCGCCTGGAAGCCAAGGGGCACGACCAGCTCAGGCCCTAGGCGCGGGCACGGAGGCGGTGTGGCCCGGCCTCATCTAACAGCCCTGAGGCCTGGGCGGCTCGGCACCCTCCAGGTGCCCTCTGCTAAACGGTGCCAGGTCACGGGGCAGTGTCGGCATCTCCACCCCGGGCCGTGACCGCGGCGGGAATGAAAAGGCACAGCGAAAGTCAGCACACACCTGGTCCCAAGACCCCCATAGGAGGTAGGGGCCGGAGGGAGCAGCAGCCTCCCACCTGCCTTTGCAAAGCAGGAGCCTTAGGCACCCGCAGCGGGCAGGGCAGCGGTTGGTATTAGAGCTGGGGCCTGGGAGAGGGCGTTCCAGGGAGGAGCGGAGAAGCCCCTGTCCCATATCCCTGCAGCCCAGACATCCGCCACACACCCTGCTGAAGCTCTGCCCCAGACCGCGTCAGCAAAGCTGGAAAGTAACAGGTCCCCTGCGCAGGGCTTCCTCACACGGAACTGGTCCCTGGCCGTCACTGCGTGATCTGACTTCCCGGCTGACCTCTAGGCCAAGGAATGGACGCTCCTTCGCCGCCCTGATGGGGCGCCCACGTCGCCCTTGGGTCACCTCTCTGCCCTCCACTGCCAGCCTCCTGCTCAGACCAGGGGCCCGACTACAACTGCAAACCATGTCCTCTGGCCCCGGTCTAATTCAACTTTCTCTCACTGGGACATGCACAGCAGGCCCCTCACCGCGGCCCCTCCCCCAGCCCTGCTTGTCGGCTTAGACACAGGCCTTCACTGGACCAGGTGCGTGGCCCCCAGGACCCCAGCACAACACACACTCACCCTTGCCACCACGGCTGGGCCCTGGCCTCAGCTCGTCCCACCACTCTCAGCTCCAGTCCCCCGGACTCAGCTTTTAGCCCCACCACCCTCTGCTCGTGTCCCCACCCACCCTACACCCACCCTGGGCTCCAGCCCCCAGGACTCAGCCCCAGCTGCACTGGTTCTTCTCGGCTCCACCAGCCCCCACTCTCCCTTCATTTTAATTTGCCCGCTGGAGGGACAGAGGGGAGGTGGGAAAGCACCCTTGGGGGTGACCACGCAGCAGTCCCTTCGTCTCTCCCTGCTTCTCAGCACGCACCCGGGCTTGGCATGACTTCAGGCTGCTCAGATCCTGAACTGCATGGTCGACCCCGGGACCCCGCCTGCCTTACAGGCTGGCCACCTGTACATGCCACCCGCTCAGGAACCCTGTCCCTCCAGTTTCCCTGTTCACCCTCTCCACCCCACTGCTGGCGATGGCCGAGCCCCCAAGGTCAGGGTGGGGGGCTCCCCAAGGGCGGCGACCTTGTCTGATATGCTCACCTGTGGGGTGCTACACCTTAGATGGGACTTGTTGAAGACACTGAATGAGGATGTACTAGCCTTAGCAGGTGTCTGTGGAGCCTTCATGTGAAAGATGACTTTTGGAAGGTTCTGGAAGGGCAAACGTGGACAGACACAGAAACACTGGCCACGCCTAAGGTAAGAGCCCTGAGCACAGCAGGTCTTGGCAGTGCAGGGCGCACAGGCAAGGGCTTGGCCCGGGAGTCTGGGAGGCGCAGGGAGACACAGGCTGTTTCTAGGATGGCTTGAACGCACAAGGCCCGGCTGCGCAGGCCTGGGATCCCGGCCAGCCTGCGTGCAGCAGTGACAGGCCACGCGCAGGGCCGGATCCCATGGGGCCGCCGGCAGTTTGAAAACCACGAGGCCCATGTGCACACGTGCCCATACACCCTGATGGGCCGAAGCAGCGGAGGGCAGTGTGGGTGTGCCCGCTGGGGTTCCTTCTGTAAGCACACGCACCCTCTGGCAATGAAAACAAAACCGCCTCCTCCCCCTCCTTCCTCCCCCCAATCCCCTCTCCAAAGGACAAACCAATTGAGGGTTCCTCACAGTCCCTCCTGGTCCCAAGCCCTCAGTATCTCTGGGTAGAGACCAGGAGGGAGGTGGTGGGCCATGCTCCCATGTCTATCCCAGCAGTTTGGGGCCCACCAGCCTCGAGGCAGCAGCCCCAAGCCCCCCGGGCTCCCCACTGGCCTCTCTGCCTCCTTGTCCACGGACAGCAGGGCTATCCCGAGCAAGCCTCCAAGGGACCCCGGGCAGGAGACCCCGGGCAGGAGACCACGGGGCTTCAGAGAGGGCTGGCCCGGGTAGGGGGTAGGGCTGGCTCAGGCGGGACAGAGGCAGCTGAGATCCAGGCTTAGCGTTACTCCACTTTATTAAAAGTTTCGGCTATGAAAACTATACAAACAAGGAAGGGACAGCAAAGGCTGAGAGCGACCACACCTGACCCCTGGGGTCTGGACTGCAGCTGGCCTTCTAGGGCTCACGCAGCAGCCGGGCAGGGCAGGGCAGCCAGGACACTGCACTCACACCAGGTGGTGGCTGTCCTGACACCACGTAAGGACGCACGGTCCCCTCTGGCCAGGCGCTGTGGAGGGCCGTGCGGGCACGATGCCGGGTGCTGGGAGCCGCATTGTGAAGGCTGTGCCCGGCCAGAGGCCGACAGGTTGAGAGCGGCCAGGAAGAGGGGCCTAGGAGTCACTGCTGGGCAGTGGGGTGACCACGCGCCAGCCCGAGTCCACAGCAGCCGCGCCCCTCCCAGTACGCGGTTCTGGGGTCCACGCCAGGGTGGGCAGCACCGAGGGCCAGTCAGAACTGCTGCAGGATCACCTTCCGCTTCAGGTCACGGCTGAACTTGTTGGCCCTGAAGAGCTCGCTGTCGTAGAAGGCGGACAGCATGTGGATGTTTATCTGCCGGGCCTGTGAGAGCGGGTGGGTGAGCCCCGAGGGCAGTTACTGGGCCCCGAGGGCGGTTAGTGAGCCCTGAGGGTGGTCAGTGGGCCCCGAGGGTGGTCGGTGAGCCCCGAGGGCGGTTAGTGGGCCCCGAGGGCGGTTAGTGGGCCCCGAGGGTGGTTAGTGAGCCCTGAGGGTGGTCAGTGAGCCCTGGGGCAGATGGTGAGCCCCGAGGGCGGTTAGTGAGCCCCGAGGGCCAGGACCAGGCTGTGTGGGCCATGTGGATTCGCTGGGGCCCGGCTCCCGCTCTGAGAAGCGATGACGAGCAGGCCTTTCCCCGCAGCCTGCTGTTAAGAAACGAGTTCCCAAAGCTCCATGCGTGGCTGTCCCTCAAGCCCAGCAGGGACCCCGACTGAGCCCGCCCCTCGCCTCCCGCCCGGCGCACCTTGTCCACCAGGTCCTTCTCGGGCACTTCTATGGTGTCCTGCTGGGCCCCAAAGCGGTTGCGCTGGTACGCCACCTGCTCGGCCACCAGCTGCTTCAGTATGAAGAGCAGCAGCTCATTGTTGTCCCGACGGAAGGACAGGTAGCGGGCGAAAGTCTGCACAGGACGGGTGGTCAGCACGCCCCGCCCCCTGGCCCGCCCCGCCCACCTTGCGCATGCTGCGTGTGACGCTGAACTTCTGCGTGTCGATGAAGCTCTCCAGCATCACACGCATGGCCATGTTGACGTCGTCCTCCACCACGTAGTCCCGCAGGTGCATGCGCGCGTGGGCCTCCGCCATGCGGATCATGGACTCGATGTGCCGCACTGTGATGGGGATGCTGCCTGTCGCCTGCGGAGCAGCAAGGTCAGGGCTCCCGGCAGGGGCGCGGGGAGCTTGCCTTCCACAGGCCTGCCCGGCCGGCCCCGGCAGCTCACTCGAGGCCGAGGGCCGTCTTCAGGCCGCACCACTGTCACAGAACGGCACGACCAGCCGAGACTGGCGAGAACGGGGCTGCCGTCGACATGGCTGGGGGGCTGGGCGCATGGCTGTGGGCTTGGCCGACTGGCTCGGCACCCGCTCTGCAGCTCACGGCCACCAGGTGAGACGTGGGCCCCATGACAGCACTTACACCCGCAAGGGCACCCACGCCACGATCCGCCGGCCCCCGGAGCCCACGCACCATGGACTCCTTCCTCAGGTCGCTGTACATCCGGGCCACCTTGTCCTGGTCCACTTGGTTGAGCTTCGGGTGGACGTTCTCCTTGGCATAGATGATGTACTTCCTGAGGACCTCCTGGGGCAGCGGCTCCACGCCGGACGTGTTGGGCGGGGTGGGCTCTGGGCTGCTGCCGGGCCGGGCCCCCCTCCTCCTTGTTGCTGGGGTGGTGCCTGACATGGCTGCCAACCACGAAGCGGGCCAGCATTTCATCCTGTGAGCCACAAGGCAGCGGGTTGGTGACACGCGGGCAGCCACGAGGGGGTCTTTCCCCGGTGGCTCTCCCACTGTGTACTGCAGTCCGGTGCCTGGGGCACGCCCAGAAAGGACAGAGCCCTCACAGGCTCACCCCGGGAGGGGACAAGTGCAGGCATAAAGGGTGACTACAGAGGGACACCCCACGAAGGACCAGGGAGCTCAGACAAGGCCCGGTGACAGTCACCGTCAGACAGGGGCCGGCATTCTGGCAGAGGGAGGGAGGGTGGGGGCAGGCGGCCCAGGGCCTCAGCACAGCAGATGGGGCGGAGCAGGCCGGGCACCACCAACCTGGACTGGGTCCACGGTGTCCCGCACCACACACAGGATGTCGAAGCGGGAGATGATGGGTTCCGTGAGGTCCACATTCTCGGAGAAGGTCAGTGAGGGGTCGTAGCGCCCTCCTGGAACACACGGGCCTCCCAGTCAGAGCCCAGGCGGCTGCTCGAGCTTGGGGGCCTGCCCTGGGCGCCTGCGTACCTATGGGGTTGGCGGCGGCGACAACCGTGCAGCGCGCCTGCAGGGAGGTGACGATGCCGGCCTTCGAGATGGAGATGCTCTGCTGCTCCATGGCCTCGTGGATGCTGGTCCTGTCCTGGTCGTTCATCTGCCAGAGCGGCCGCCTCAGCACAGCCCCGCGCCCGGCCCCGGCCCCAGCCCCAGCCCCGGCCCCGGCCCCACCTTGTCAAACTCGTCGATCAGGCACACCCCGCGGTCGGCCAGCACCAGGGCCCCGGCCTCCAGGGTCCACTCCCGGCTGACCGGGTGCCGCTGCACATACGCTGTGAGGCCCACAGCCGACGCGCCCTGGCCGGTGGTGAAGATGGCGCGGCTGGACACCTTCTCGATGTACTTGAGGAACTGCGACTTGGCTGTGCCCGGGTCCCCGCATAGGAGCACGTTGATGTCACCGCGTACCCTGTGCTTCCCACCTGGGGGGAGGGGGGCCAGGCCGGAAGGGCCCGAAGGCTCTGTCCACGTGTGCACGAGTGCCAGACAACCAACGAGGGGACAGTCATGTGTGGGTGCAGGCACGCCACGGCCCACGGGCGGGATGCTGCAGGCCGGGAACAGCATGGTGAGCGTATCTGTGCGCGTCCCGCGATGCCAGGGGCTGGGGCTCGCACCCCTGGGCAGAGGGACCGGCCGATGGGCAGGGGGGACCGCAGCCTCGTCTGTGGCGGGCCCCCACCG